TGGGCCAAGCAACAGTTACCACCCTTGCAACTCTGACACTAATCAACATGCTGAAAATCCTGCTAGGCAAGTGTGCAGTCTCCAGACTCAGAAGAACTCAAGAGGGTGTGATCGCCACACTAAACAAAACCAACCACACCTCGAACATCAAGAGATCAAGAAGAACGACAAGAAAGAACTGCAGCTATCCAAGGAGATGATCATGATTGCCACCCTATTCCAGAATGTCAGACGATGGGTTGTGTGGAGAGTCAGTCTTCACCTGAGCAACCAGGAGATCCTTGAGCAATTGAAGAAAGAAAACCCAAAAATCAGGTTCACCAAAGCGGAGAGGATCAGATCTAAGCACAACCCGTCGTCGTTGCAGTCATCACCACAGAGGGCAAAGATTTACCAGACCATGTCTGTCTAAACCAGAGGATGCAGAGACCAGAACAGTACATACCACAGGTACTGCAGTGTTCCCGGGCCCAGAAAGCCTGGCATTCCAGAGCGTCCTGTGTGAGCGAGCACGAAATTTGCCGGTACTGTTCCAAACACCACACCTTTAGCCACTGCCCCTTGGCAAAGATAGACCAAGACTTCTGAAAAGCCTACGCAAATAGGAGATGTGCCAACTGTGCCGGCCAATATAGTGCCAGGTGCCTAGCATGCCTGTATCTTCAGCAGTGCAGGGACATCACTACCATGGCTGTCAGGAAAAATATCCCAAACCAGGAGGCCCGCAGAGGACACGAGGCATCCAAAGGTCTAGCAGCAGCAGAGGTGAAAACACAATGGCATTTCACAGATAAGGAAACACTGCGGGCTTTAGAACGCACAAAGGAATTCCAAATCGAATTAGGCATGACCAGAAATGACCTACTTAACGAGATCTACCCACGAGATGATGTCCTAACTGAAGCAGACTACTTTAACTCAAGCCAGCCAGAAGACTAAGTACCATGGTCCCCAGATGAAACAATCCAAACACAAAAACTCTGTGGAAAATCTGGCAAGCACCAAAACAAAAAACATTAATGCCAGAGACGTTGCCGCCAGCACCAAACCACCTGAAACCTAATGTTTGAGCAGCGCCAGACAGCCAAGGTAGAAGAGGCCCACCAAAGCAGCACCAGATTCCACCCTTAACCCTACGCAGTGCCACCACAGGCAACAAACTTCTCAAGGCAAGTAAACCCCCCTCCTTGGACACACCAACTGGCCAATTAAAACCACCCCAACCAGTCATGACAGAGGAGCAGCCAATGTAGTGAACTGGAACACAGCGCAAGACCAGCCAGATACGAGAACAGCCAAACAAGAAGAAACCGTAACAAACCACGAGTGATAGGAAACTGACAACACAAAGAAAAACCAGACGTAATGAAGCCTGGTCACAAATTAATTGGCAGGATTGATCACGGTATGAGAACACCTGGGGCATTCAGCTGACAAATATATCAATAAAATGCAACAATGTTCCAAAGCTGAACAGATTATTCTTTAAATTATTTTTTCTTTAAAAATAATATAGCTCAACTGATTTACAGCACACATATAATCCTCTGTACATATGTGTAATCTAGTCATTAGTATTACAATGATTTTCAAAGCAATTTGACTGGATTGAATTATTAAAATATAAATATAAAGATCAAGAAGGATTGCATACGAAGACAATGGGTGGAATCCTTGAATAGATCTAGGCTGACAAAAATCAGCTTCATTTTTGTTCTGTGAAATTCTGTTGTCAAGGTCAATGAATGAGTTGACAGACTTGCAAGTGATGCTCACATGGGAAACAGACGATCAGTGGACAGGTCTGATATACTGAATGCCCTCAGAGAGGCAGCTTGATAAAGCAAATCAAGTAAAGATTGTGAATCTGCAACACTGATGAGGCTACATAATATCAAAAGGGATGAAGCCAGACAAGAGCGCTACACAGGGGCCCAAAGAAGAATAGTAAACCAACACAGAACTACAGCCACTACACGCTGAGGGAGATCTGAGCACTTGTGGACTAGATGGTTCGATGTAGAATGAAGATAGTCTGTTGACTGACTAACTAGATTCAGAATACAAAAGATTAAACAGCATTAAAAGTCTATGGTTAAGCACCAGCAAGGAAATCAAAGTTAACATTTTGAGAGCATTCATCTTCCTAGTAGCAACATATGGATGTGAGTCATGAACTATCTACCAGTCCTTGAAGAAAAAAGTCAAGGCTTTGGGATGGGGGGGGCGGGGGGGGGGGGGGAGATTTGGGGGTGAGGAGGGGGGCATTGGGTTGGGTCTATTCTTAATTCTCTAAAATGAAGTCCTGGAACCCGTTCAGGGAGGTCTAGAGATCAAAGCTAATATCCTGTTGATGTGCTTGCCACTGAGCCATGACCACTCACTCTTGGTCTCCACTTTCTTCCTGGCTGCACAGTACAAAGCTGCCTGTCTTTTTTTTTTTTTTTTTTAAAGAAAGATTCTCAAAGTGCCATAGACAGAAGGGAAGAAATGCTGACAATCATAAAAGATCTGAATGTCAAGGGAGATTGGCTAATTAACAGAATCGTGTCTTGGAAGCTATTTTGGTCATATCAAGCAACACAGCAGATTGGAAAAGATAAAAGCAGAAGGCATGATACCAGGAAGGAGGGGCAGGGGCCAACTAACACAAAGATGGACTGCTTGGATATGAAAGTGCAGGAGAGCTGGTGAGAGACCGAGTTTCTTTCAGGCAGACAGTGATATGGGAGCTAAATTTTGCAAAGAACCTGCCTGCTTCAGGATGGTGATGTGATTTAGGAACTGTTGCACCACACTGGAGATCTTTGATCCCCTCTTTCAGACAACACTTTGGAGATTTCAGCTGAGCATCAGAACTCTATAGCATCAGCAAAATGCCAGACTCTAAATAGTCTGTTTTAGATGTAATTTATAAACTTGACATTTTTCTGCAGTAAACTCATAGTTTTCAGTGACCATGAAATTGTTAACATGTATACAGAACCTCTTAAATTTGTGTTTCTTAGCTGAGATATCTAGAGATGCATCCGCTATCCAGCAGTCAGGAATGTAACATCATTGGGTTACTCTGAAAAAGATGTCCTTAAATTTTTTCTGTACCTTTAAAATTTTTTATTTTTTTTTAAAGTTAGAGGCAAGCATCTTATCTGTAAGCTACTTCAACAACAACCACCCCCCCCCCCCCCCCCCCCCCCCCTTTTTTTTAAAAAAACCCTGTAGTAGAACTTACAGTCTGTTTTAAAATAGTCATTATCCAAGGTGTTGTACTGTCATTTCTGTCAGGGCTTTGAATGTGAAAGCAAAGAAATTCAACAAAATGACCCCATGCAGCTAGACCAATAGTAGATTATTTAGCGGCAGTCTATCAAATGAGACAAAAAGTGATAGGAAGCATACAAAGAGAGGCACAAACCTGCTGCCCCTCAGGCATACTGGGGACAGTCAGAGACTAGAGAAAATAACTCCTACTCCCATCCTCCACCTTTTTACCCAATGCTTGTTGTGAAATCAACTGTACTGAGCTACAGACTTAATGAACAACATCACTGATACCAAAATGATATTGGCTGAGTCTGTTGCTGTTATGATTTGTTATTGCTATCCAGGCAGCAGAGGACTCTCTACGTCAGATGGGTAAAAGACTGTTCTATGACCATCTCCTGAAGGATGCTATACAACACCAGCATTATTCTGTCACTGATGAAATAGACATCACAACACTGAAGGATTACATGCAGGTATTGTTTGTTTATAAATAGATTTACTTTTTAAAAAAAATTCTCTGACAGGCTAATTCAGCTTACTTTTTATTTAAGTTTTTTTTTAAAAACTCTTTATGTTTACTTAATTACTCTTTGAATGGGCTTATTAAACTCATCATACGGTTTAATTAACTTATTATATATAAATTTATTTGACTCTTTAAATAAGTTTATTTGGCTATGTAATCTTATTTGGCGCTTAATATGGGCTTATTTAACTCTTTCAGTTTCTACACCCTTCTTTGTTCCAAATGTACTGGTGTTACTTTTTCTTTTAAAACAATAAGGTAGGCTGAGTGAGAGATCATGATGCATGGGCAGCACATGATCTCTACAATACTGCCCTCCCCCACCCGCTGCCTTCCGCTGGCTTGAGAATCACCTGTACACACATGTTGTGATTGTAACTGACTCGCAGAGCATGTTGAGAAAGATGGAGACAGGTATGCTCAGTGCAGAGTGGCAAGCATCACTTCAGGTAGTTAGCATCCTTTGGATATTTTTTTCAGGTCATGCTGGTGTGTTGAGAAATGAGCAGACAGATAGACTGGCCGGTTCCGCACTGCTTGGTGGTGAACTCATGTATACCAAGCTGGATGTTGTGAGGGCTCTTTGGGAGCAATTGAACAATGCTGAGGCACAGACAGATCATTATGGCCTGGGAAGAAAAGCACTGAGAGGAGTTACAAGGGGATCTGGCTGGCGCTCAACACTCAGAGGAAAGACAAGACGAATATACATTCAGACAGTTACTGGTGCCATCAGAATTGAAACTCTTCACTTGCTGCTGAAGATGGGGACAGAGCACTTATGGGGTTGCCCTGAGTGCTATGATGTTGATTCTAATTTAACATTCAACATTTAGCAAAAATGCTCAGGCCTTAACTGGTCTTGCAAACATATCAAGAGGCAGCAATTATGGGTTAGAAGTCCTTGTCACCAGATGAGTGCACCACGTGTCCCATACTCTAACTGTGAAAGACTTTTCTTAACATGGGCAGGTCTTTCTAGTCACACTCGCCATTGCCATGGTCTGTGATTCCCATGTCTTCCCCTCATCATCATGTAGCAGGTCCTTTGCAGAATGTCCCTCTCATCAGGGTCTGCCTGAAAAGAAACTCAGTCTCTCCCTAACACAGTCTAATACTATAATTTGGAAAGATGAAAAGGTGTAAACAACAAATATTTTACTTGTTATGTGGGCTTCTTTAACTCTTTCAGTCCCAGCCACATGTTACATTACCCTACATAAGTTGTTGTCTAAACTGATAAATGTTTATGTCTGAAGCAGTTAAAGATTATAACACTTTGAAATGACAAGTGTGAAGTAACAATTTGGATATCAAGAAGTAACTTAGCACAATACAAACTATGAGTAGGAACTCAGTGGAGGGAAGGGAAGGCACAATTACAACTAAATGTTTTGACCAAAGTCTTTATCAACGAATATAAAGAATAAATATATGTAAGAATAAAGTTGATAATAAAAACAGTTACTCTATTTTGAATCAATATTTGCTGACGAATACATCATCTTCTCAAACAGTACCTGGCTGTTTTGGATGAAAGTCCAGCTTGGCAAGGTGGCAAAGAAAACTATTGGAGAAAATTAACACTTGATGGTAACTCAATATTTACTCTTTATTTAAACTATGTTATAGGAAGTCATTAAACTATGTTTTGGAAGTCACTACCATTTTTAATTAAACACTAGCTGTACCCGGCCACGCGTTGCTGTGGCATAGTTTGGCTAAAAGGAAATGAAAGAAAATAGAAATCGCACGTGTCTAATACAATCATTGTCTGCTCAGATATAGAGATAGTCTTTGATCCCCACCCCACCCCCCCTACCTCCCACAACTAAATCCACCTACTACCCTCTCCCTCATCAAAGGTTTTTGAAAAAGAAAGACAATGGAAATCGCACCTGTCTAATATAGTTAATGTCACAATCATTCTCTGCACATTTATATAGAGATAGTCTGGTTTTCCAACTTTAGAACACGCACCATATAATTGTGTCTTTATATTAGTGGTCGTTTAAATGGTGCTATTAGCACAGTAACAAAAGTGGTTATTTGGTTATCACATTCTAAAGCTGTTTGTATTTTTTTATAGGAGACGTAAGTAAAGCTACTACTGTACTTGTAAATAACAAAGTAAGTCGTACAAAAATTAGAATAGTGAAGGTAGCGTTAGTAAAATTTAAACAATTTAAGTGAGTAATGAGAACTTAAAAATCATGTGTAAAGCACTTCAAGTTCTCTTAAATTTCAGTCATTACCCTCTTCCCTCCCCTCTTCCATCGACTACTGCTCTCTCCCTCTTCGAAGGATTGAAAAATCATCACCATTCTTTTTGTTGTAACTGACATTGACATACCTGTCCATCCGGACTAAATTGGGAGCAGGAATTGTAATAGGTAGTGAATGGGGCTAATGTAATATTTACCGCATCATCCTTCAAGTACCAGTACAACTACTACCACGACCACCACCACAGTAGCTAAAATAATGTCACTGCTATCTGTTTTACCATCGGAGTAGACAGGGAGTCGTGAGCCAGAAAATTTGGCGCCGCATGGCTAGTGCTGTCGCCACGGACTGGTCAGGTTAGGATGTATGATTTCGCTCCCCGACAGAAGAATGCCATAACCTTACCGGCGGTCTTCACATGAGAGCACTACGGTGTAACCGCCCAACCACAACTACTACTGCTGCTGCTACTTTGAGTGGGTAAAGCAGTTACTGTGACTTAAAGCTCTCTCAGTAATCAGTTTGCCCCCCCCCCCCCCCCAATTCACCGACTACTCTTTTCCTCATCGAAGTATTTGAGAGGGGAAAAAAAACCAATTGAAAAGCAATTAAAACAGGAAAAATACACCAGAATTAGGAAATGAACGCTATGGTAAACAGCACAGCTTAAAATTCCAACGCAGATGAAATAATTAAATCTAAATGAAAATAAATGGAAAGCTATGAAATTTCAGCGTAACCATGCAATCGAAAAGTTTAAAATGTGAAATGGTCAAATTTAATTATCAACTGGTTTACCCACAAACCTGTCCTTGGTTTTTTTTTTTTTTAAATATATATCATTAAGGGCCATATGGCTTGTGCTGTCGCCACGACAGTGCAGGTGAGGATTTTATTTTAGCCCTAAGTAAAAAAAAAAAAAAAACTACTGTGGATTCGAACCCTGGTCTCCCTCTCAAGAGCCAAGTGTTCTAACCATTCGACCAAGCAACCACTCGATCGGAATAATGAAAAGAGAACATAACTATTTTAGATGTGTGTCCCTACTGCAGTGTCCCGATTATAACAACTCAAAACAGCAGGCAATTGTTTTCTCATAGACAGATATTCCAAATATATTAATGAAACGGCACAACAAAAGAAATGGCACGTGTCTAACACGGTTAATGTTGCAGTCAATGTCTGCGCAGACATCGAGATAGTCCCTGATGCCCCCCCCCCTCTTTTTCCCTACCAATCCATCGGCTACTTTTCAACTCATCGAAGGATGTTTGAAAAAAACAACAGAAAATAGAAATTGTGTCTAATATAGTTATTGTGGCAATCACTGCCTGCACAGATATAGATATAGTCTTGTCTGCTGTACTACGACCTACTCTATGTATTAGAGAAGGTGTTGGCTGCACGGCGCATGCGCAGTTACTAACGTGGCTATAATTAGAAATCACTAAAATTATAAATATTAGTTTCGAATATTATGGCTCAAATTGTGGTCACCTATCTTTAACAGTGACAGGTTGAATTTCAAACCATAATGGTTCAACATCCGGTATCAAAACAAACATATCCTGAAAATTTCAGCTAAATCGGTTCAGTAGTTTCCGAGTCTATAGGGGGCAAACAAACACACAAACATTGATTTTTATAAATATAGATTAAGAAAACTACTTGTCAGGTTGTGTTTCTTTTGAACATTATAATAAATAAATATATTTATTCAGTAGCTTATTTTTGGTTCCATTTATTTTTATCTTGTAGTTTTGAAGTAAAACGTTTTTTTTTTAAAAAGGAAAAAGTAAAGGACACTTTTCCATGCCCTTTGATGTATTGGTCTATAATGCTAGCCCTCTATTTTTTTTAATCAATTGGCACTCATTAGGTGATATGGTCCCCATCACTCTGGTCGTCCCAACTGGCACTCATTAGGTGATATGGTCCGCATCACTCTGGTCGCCCCAACTGGCACTCATTAGGTGATATGGTCCCCATCACTCTGGTCGTCCCAACTGGCACTCATTAGGTGATATGGTCCCCATCACTCTGGTCGTCCCAACTGGCACTCATTAGGTGATATGGTCCCCATCACTCTGGTCGTCCCAACTGGCACTCATTAGGTGATATGGTCCCCATCACTCTGGTCGTCCCAACTGGCACTCATTAGGTAATATGGTCCGCATCACTTTGGTTTCCCTCACTTCTCAGGACTTTACCAAGTACCAGTTTTAGGCTGGGTCGACCTTGTAATCAAGGTCTTTTTTTTTAAATTATTATTATTTGACTCGGTCCAGATTTGAACCCATGACCTTTTATCCCACAGACAAGCGCCTGGCCTCTACAGCATGGCTGTTCCCCCTTGTTCTTAAAATATGTGTGAGAAATAGCAAACATAATTTATAAATATCTGTATCCCCCCAAAAAATTAAGGACTCACCTACATGAACAAAGAGAGGAAGCGGAAGAGATGTAATATCATTTTCAAGCAAGCAGAAATGTATTTTACAACAAGTATTAATCATTTTTATAGGTATAAGGTATGGCAAGAAGATCAAAGATGTCATAATAAGGTGTACAACCATGTAACATGTCAGATTAAAGTGAAAACATTCACATTTTTTGATGAGCTCATGTGTCACACATGAATTTGTTCTTGTCTGCCCTCATCATGCATATCTTTATGTTCATTTCTGAACTTCCTGCACCAGTCCCTCACAGAAATGTCACTGTTAACACCTACGCACAACACAATCGAGGATGAATCTTACCGGCATTTTGACCTTCTGCTCAAAAGAAACAAATCACACCCCAAATTTCACAGCTGGCTGGGAAGACATTAACAATGTTCATGTTTATTTGTTCATAGTTCGTAAAACACTGAACAAATGCAACCCTAGTTTGATGTGTAGTCAGCTAAAAGATTAATAAAAAATGCAAGCAATAAACAGCGTCGCTGTGATGAACGTTTTTTTAAGCTAGTCGAAGGTTAATTTTGGTATAGCCCTCGTAGAACATGCCGGATTATTTAGAATATGCCTGGTATATTTTGCTGCATCTCTTTAGGTACACACAACATAAATTATATCAACATGTATTGAAGCACCCAAAAAAAAATGTTTTTGACTGAAATTTAAAAAAATTTCATTTTCATTTTTTTGTTCAACTGTAAGGTTTATAATTGGTTTTGTGAGCTTGTTTTCAATTACAGTAATTTCAGTTCAGTCCCACACAGTAGCAGGATTATTTGAATTTTTTACCATGATTTAGGGTTGACAATCATCATAAAATTCAGACTAGATACTTTTCAAATATTTCTTGAAATTATCTATAAAGGAAGGGTGAAGAAAAAAGTAAATGGCTACCTGATAGCATTGTGATATGGCCTAGAATATGTGGATGTCTAACACTTCATTGAGACTCCACTGAGCTCAGTCCATGTGCTTTCCTGCGCCTTTACAGTGACTTCTTGACCACTCACAATAAATATTACTCTGAGAAACATTTTCTTACCCTACATATGAGGCTGTCTGCATTAGTTTTAAACACATATTATGTTTATGTAAAACCAACAAGCACTTGTGTACTAGCAAAACAGATTGTAAATTATTTTTTTTATCTGCAGTTGGCATGTTGATAGTTCCACCTCTTGTTTTATGTTTATTTTAACAACATGGGGTTTATATGCCAGGTGAGTATGCAGTCAGCCTTTATGGCAACTTAGCCTTTGACAGCAGACTTTTCAGTTAGAGATGTTTGATATAATGGTAAACTAGTAAAAGATTACAGTCCTTTGTTATTTGCATGTTTGTACAGTGTATCAGCCAAATCTCAAAATAACTAATTGATTACTGTAGGCTGTTGAAAGCATCAAATTGCTTGCAGTTGAGAAAATGGTAAACATATTTTAGAACTCATCTATAGCTCTATAACTCATCCATTATAGCATTTTTTAGTCAATTTTTTGGCTCCATGAAATTTGATTCTTATATACTTATTATTTGGTTGTCCAAAGTAATTACATTTGATTGACTACAGCTGGTTAGTTATTCACCAAGTTTTTGCAGGCACTGACAAGTTTTTCACTGCTTTTTAAATGGGACAGTTGGGACATTTAATGTGATGTCTTCTGGCACAGGAATAGAGTAGTTATAGTAAATTATTATTATTTAAACTGATACAAGGTGTGCTTATTAGTTACTTTCATATTCAATCCAAAACTCTGTATTTTGATTATGATGATTGAAACATATTTAGCTCAGCTCTCTCAGTTCATATTTGTTTGGCCCAGTCCTTTAGTAGCTGCTGACTGAGCAGTTAAAATGCTGGGCTCTCATGCAGGAGTCCCAGGCTTGAATCCCTGGTAAAGTGATGGACATGTTTTCTGTGTGAGCGCACAAATACAAATTGTAACCCCCAATAGCCATGTAGCACTAAATCCTCCAGCTGAAGACGTGTCTGTTCTATACCACTCTAAGCAATGGGTAAATACAGACAATAATAAAGAAAGTCAATAAATCATTTGGTTGACCTCATAGAAATGATTTTGAGATCCTTTGCATATTGACTGATTAATGGTTTGGAAATTAAGCAGATATTTCAGTAGAGTAAATCCAGAGCGCACCTCCAATTTATAACTGAATAAACTATCATTTCAGTTACCTTCTTTCACTTTGAACAACCCTTAGGTGCTTATATTTCCCCCTCAGTACTTAAGTCAAAGTTGTGTGTCTGACTGACTGACTTTCTACCCCACTAGGACATCACACAAGCGATAAACACCTGATGACACAAAGTGCCACCATGTGGATGAAGATCGCCGTGGAGAGGTCCCAGAAACCACTTTCAGACAATTGGCCAGATTTATGGCCTGCCTATATTGTGGCCCCTGGCAAAAGCCAGGGTGGGGCTTCAAATAACAAATAATTTTGTCCTAAAAAGGATGAAACTGGATATTTGTTGTGTATCTGTCCTAAGATGCTTGACATACATATGAGGTAAAGATGTATGCAAGGGAGACATGAATGATGCAGGTACTGAGGGGGACTCATGGAAACAGAATACCATGGACCGTGTTGCGGGAAGGGGGGACACATTAGGATGAAAATGAGAACGAAGGAAGAAATTATTGCAGAAAGGATGAGAGCTGAGCATCTTCCACATCTTATAAATACGCTCGATTACTCGTGGTAGTATCCTGTCAAAAACTATTAGCTCCCTTGATGGGTCAGCCTGACAGCTCAGGTTAATTATTTTGTAAAGTCTCCCAATGAAGTATTTGAACATATAAGCAGTGGGATAACAGGCAGACTTGCTAGACACTGCAGTAGCTCTGCTCCTGATAGTGAGAGCATTCTCTTGTACAGACGGACTAGCAGGCATTACCCACTGCTGATGACATTTATGGTTCCTTGTTTCCAGACCACTGATTACTAAATCAGTCAGTCGGGTTCAAGATTACCAAAACATTTTCAGTTTTAAGAAGCAAAAACTAAGTGATCTGTTCAGCAACCAAAGACAGTTTTGTTATTTGCTGGGTACAGAATGAGCAAAGAAGATTAACATGTGTCAGTTGAGTTATTTTTCATCATGTGATGTTTTGCCTAATGCAAAGTCAGTATAACTGTTATAGATAGGTAGGTAGGTTGTACTCCACCAGGACATCACACAAGCGATAAACACCCAGTGACACAAAGTGCCACCATGCGGTTGAGGATCATCTGTGGAGACGTCCCGGAAACCCCGTTCAGCTGTTAGGCCATATTTAAGGCCCTGCTATATTTAGGGCCCCCCGGCAAAAGCCAGTGTGGGGGCGATGATAACTAAAAAAAAAGACCACCCATGGAGAGGTCCCAGAACCCAATTCAGCCGTTATATTTGGGGCTCCCGGCAAAAGCCAGGGTGAGGCTTCAAATAATGAAAAATTGCATCTCACAAGGGGACGACAGTATTATTGTGTGACTGTTATATTGTTTTCATCACCAGATTTACCACGACACACAATGTTCTTTGATGTTGTTGACTTTGCATACAACAACCAAGTCACATCAGAACTGAAAGAGACCATTTGTACTTTGATGATGAAACCTGTTACCCAAGAAATTCAGATTCAACATATACAGGCCATCTCAAAGTTGAAGTACGAGCTGAACAGATTGTGCCTTGTTTTTGTTTTGTGTGTTCTTTGTGTCAGTTCATTATTTGTGTCCCTTGATTGATAAGGTGGTATTCATATTATGTTTATGCTTCTATTGCAAAATGTTTACATTGTTTTGTTTCTTGAAAAAGACTTTGGCCTAAACATGCCCTTATTGTCTGTGTGTGTTTCCTTTCCTTGAGTTAAAGTGAGTTTGGAGCTGACCATATTGCACTCAGGACATTCTCCTAAGCTCTCTGTTTTCATCTTCAGCGGCCAGAAAAGAGTTCCATTGCTAATGGTCCCAGTAGCGGTTTGAATATATGTATGTCTTTACTTGTCTCTAAGTGTAGAGTGTCAGCCAGATCCCTTGATGTCCTTTCGTGAAGCTTCCTAGTTGCTCTTTTAGTGTTCAGTCATTTTACTAAATATGCCTTAATGATATAGGATACAGACATTTTGATTTATTTTACTCATGGAAGCCATGGTAGCATGGAGGCCATGGTAGCATGGAAGCACACTTGCCTCTCAGCCAGATAGCTATTTGTATGGGTCCCTATAGGAGATTTTACAATGTGGTCTGGGCTCCAAGACTGACCAGTATAAAATAGTTAACATTAAATGTCCTAGGAAATAAAGGCAACCAGCACGATTGTGACCATATCACCCACTGAGTACCATTTGGTTTATAAAAATAATGGAGTTTACAACTTGTGAACTCTAAAACGATTTCCTCATTTTCTTGGGCAGAAGCTTAGTTGTATGGCCTCTGCTTCCAATCGGAAACCTATGAGTTAAAAATTATGATGTGGGTTTTAACAACATAAGGAACTTGAGAGTATACTTATCCTTGGGTGGTCTGTTGAAAAATAGTGAAAACTAGGATAATCCATGTCATATTGCACATACTACTAAATATCCCTCACCATCTAGAAATTGAACAAGTTAAGCTAAACAGGACATTCATTTGACTTAATTTGAAGATTAGAAAACCAAGCAACAAAATATTTCTAACATGTCTGGTTCTGTTACACACACCTTCAGAATTTCATCAGTGATGAGTTCTTGTACACTGTTCCTATTATTCTTGTGGGATTTATGGGGCAGATGGAGAACTTGTAAAGTTATCTGAGTCGGCGTTGAAAGTGATCCTTAACAAACCAAACAAGAAGGCAACTTGCTTTAATAATTTGTGGGAGCTGCAGCAGTGCAGTGTCTATCATGCTTGCCTGATGATCAAATTGTCATAGCTTCAAATCTCCTTCAAGACAACATTTATTGCACATTTACCCAGGCTGCCAGATCAACCCAATCTAGCTGGGTACCACATCATTTTCTGGGAAGAGCACATCATATTAATGATTGTCAATTAAAAAAATGAAGTTAGCATCATATGCTCACTAGATCTGAAGACATTGAAATATAACACCTATTTGTTACTCATAGTTTGTATTTTACATAATTTTTGGCATTTTTTAACAATGTATCATCTGCATAATTGTGTTTAAAGGGCACAGAGACAGTCAGGTGCTCCACCTCAAGCTCTTCATAAATCTAAAGCAGCTGAAATAATAAGTGACAGTCGGACCTCTAGCAGACGTTCCAAACAAGCTAGGTTAAAGGCATCAAGAATGAGGCATCTTTACAGCAGAGAACATGTAAGTTCGTCTAGAAGGTAAGTCAGATTATTCTGCTATAGAAGGGCAGTGAGGGTCAGAGCATTGCCTGTCTCACAGTGACCTTGTATATTCATCTTTGATTTGTCTTTGGAAATATTCAAGTTTCTATTTTAATGCTTTTTCTAAGTGACTCCCTGTGACGTTACGACCCCCTTTCCTTGAGATTACAACACTTTTAGTGTGACGTCCTGGGTCGTGGGTTCTCTGGATTTGGGTTTAACTGAATTTTATATGTTGAGTAAGGAATTTTCCTCTCAGCACATCCCCTCCACCAGGTTAACTGAACTAATGTCCGGGCTATGTTGCTCTCAGACAAAGTCCTGGATATCCAAGAAAACAGCCATATTGGCTCGTTGTTTATATTAACTTTAGCTGAACTTGGTACCCACAAGAGAAGGAAATGGGTTTTAGATGTCACTTTATTATTATTTTGAATGATTTACTAGACAGGGCAGTTGACCCAATCCGTCGACCTTCTCTTGGAAAAAATTTAGTATTATTTAATGAGCCCCCACCAAATGCTATTCTATCTTAACAGTTTAATTAAACATGTAAGAACAGACACACTTGGAATTACAAAAACTGATGCAGGATAAGACCATATACTTGATTTATTAACCTAGCAATCATTTTGATTATTTATATTTTTAGTCAATAGTGATGGTATGGTGGTAATGATATGCTTCAGCTAACTGAGCACCTAAGATTAGAATGAAGTGATAATGGTAGTGTTTAGTTACAGAAATACATGATACGTAACTTTTGTTGTTTTAGAAAAGTGGAGCTTCTGAGAGTCCTCGTGTTGAGTCCCTTCTTAGCTGTTCCAACTTTTCCGCCCAGTTCTCCTGGTCCTTCCACCTGGTTCCCTGGTTCCCACCTGTTTCCTAGCTGGCCGAGTTCTAACACAATGCAGTCTTATGACCCTCTATTTCTGTTCTTAGAAAAGACTGATCGACACCCACATGGGAGCTGGGAACTTCCAGCAATCGCCAAACCAGAATCAAGCCATTAGAATTATCTCTAAGGTCGACCTGTTTGTTGCTCGTGGCAACGATTATGACGGGAATTTCAGAGGCTTGTCTTATTAATACCTCTATCTGTCTGCAAGGTTAAACTCCTCCTTTTACTAGGTTCTACCCAACCTTCCAGGAGATGACCTAAGCCCCGCCTCTGAGGTACCTAGCAGATCAACCTAGCTATTAATGGGCCTGTCACTCAAAGTAAACGGCCTACAGTACGACCTTGACCAAGATCAGACATACCTAATTGCCAAACATCTGTTCTCCTGAGAATTTAACTGGCAGGTGTAAAAACTGTCTAGAGAAGGCTGTCAGGTCTACCAGTCCACTTAATTCCCCTGATTTAGTCAGATCAAAAGGCCCCACTCAGTCTGTGTTATGTAACCTTTATGACACTAAGGTTGGGTTCAGGGGAGCTAATCTCAGGTGTGATACTAAGTTATTTCCCCCTTTACTCGCCTCTACAGTCTGTTGTCAGGAGATAATTTTCTGGCACTGGCTGGTGAAACTCTAGCTACAGTAGGATTAGGTAATATTACATAAAGCAAGGTTGCTTTGTCTGGCCAGAGATTGGAAACGCAGTTTAAACAATTTTCAAATCCCTTGTGGTGGATTTAGAAATATTTTAGGCTCAGTGTCTATTGCTTTTAATTCTTTGTCCTTCTCTGAACATAAGAAATTATTAAACACAATATAACTTCTGAGACCACTGAGGTCATTTCGTCACACTCCCTTATCTAGAGGTTGGAACATGATTATTTTTTATGTTCTTTTAGTCATTGATAAAGTCCAGCCATATTGTTTTAATTATGCTTTATATATGGAGGCTATTTGGAAGTCTTTTTTTGTAAAAACTTCTGTAATTCCTGTCTATTTCAGGCTGAACAAAACTTGAATGACAAGTTTCACGACGAGATATTGCAAGAAAAGTCTGTAACACTAAAAGATGACGAGGAAGAGGAGCTGGATGCAGAGGCTAGCCTACTTTATGAGTGGACACAAGAACTGTCTTTCCAGGATGATCTCATTCAAATCCCTTAAATCTCAAGATTGTAGTGCACCTGGCTATCTTGTTTGTTTATATGTGTAACAGTAGTTCATATAAACATAAGTAATTTTTAACTCTTTCAGATCTGTTAGTTATTAGTTCAATCTTAACCAGTCATATTATTACAAGGAATCATGTGTGACTGGATTTACTCATATGCACCAGTTAACAAATTATTATGCTTGTACATGTTGTGTTTAGTCAAGGCATGCTGAAAAACTCAGCAACACATTCATCTCCTACAAGGGATATGTATATGGGCCCTATGGTTGAAGTTCACCTATTATTTTGTTGATGTCAAGTTGACTCACTGGGATCACCTTCTGGGATGGAAAGGATTAGAAGAGACAGACAGTGTTTGAACCCCTGAAGAACTTAGCAATTGTAACAGTGAGGGACAGAAGAGGTAACAGTAAAAATGAAGATAAAATTATTTATTCTGTCAAATGCCTGTGACAGGGAAAAGTCAGACAAGTAATTTTGTTTTGATTAGCCTATTAATGTTTAGTATGCTTGGTATATAGCTAGTTAAATATTTATAATCATCTGTTTATAACTTTTTTGGCTGTTGATAGTGCTATTGATGTGTGGATTTTTAGGCCCTCACATATTTCTAAACCACAACATATGGCAGGGGAGTGGGACGGAAAGGGGGGGGGGGCACAGTTCCCATTCTCATCGCCTTCACAATTCCAACAATTGTCTGGTATCCATTTCTATCATTCTTGAACCGTCCCAGTCTTTACTGAATGGGAACAGAAATGTACCTTTCCTTGTGATTGAGATGAGACAACTTTCATGACAGACAAGTGTGTGAACCATTATATTTCTGCTACTCCTAGTCTCTTCACCATGCACTATCTGGATGATAAATTTGCATGTATGTTGACATGCAAATCTAGGCAGATGAAAAGTATTTTTCAACAGTATGAATGCACCTCTCTCCAAAGACCCCATGTTGTCTGTATTTCTTCTTTTTCTCCTGCCTGTATTGCTCGCCGATGGAGCATAGGCCCTCAACTATCTCAGATGAAGTTGTCCTGTCATTTACTCACTCGATGCATTCCCCATCTTGGAAACTTCACTTTCTAATTACCTTTACCATGTATTTGCCAGTCTGCCTTTAGTCCTTTGTACGTGGGCTCCAATGCAAGGATATTCTGGTTATATTATTATCAGGTTTTCTCAGTGTGTTTCCTATCCAACACTAACATCTTTCCCTCACTTCTTCAGTCACTGAAAATTGTTTATTCTCTCTCCAAAAGCTATGCATTAGTGATCTGTCTATTACAATAATGAATGCACTCTATTCTGCGCAGGCACCAGTTTCAGCAGCATTTAACATTGTTAGGTTAGTTGCGTATCCTTTACAGGATGTTGTAGACCAACCCCAACAGCCCCTGGCTGTTGTGTGATTTTTCTAGGCAAATTTACGTCCGGTAGTTTGCCATTTGCTTTATGGACGGTTGGCTTTCTTGATACCACTGTCGAAACCAACGCAAGCTTGGCCCGCAGCTGGGATCAAACCCGGCATCCCGGCATTACGAAGCGTCCGCATCGACCTAGCCACAGAGCCGCCGCATTTAACATTGCTATATTATATTACAGTACTGACTTAAAATCAAAGCTAAATATTATAAGTTTAAGACAGGTTTTAATTTCCTTTGACTTTGACAGATTTCCTAGTGCTATGAAAACTCTGCCTACCTTTAGATTAGTATTTTTCCCTGTGGGTTCCAAGGCCCCATTGTGTGGGTAACAAAACAAAAAAAATACAATCGCTGCTACATAACAAGCTTGTTGTAAAAGTTGACTAACTAAGTGTGCATACAAAATTCAAGTTCTGAAACAAGATTAAAGTCCAGAAGTGGACGAAGAACCAGGACTTTACCCACAGTTTACAGCTGGTCAATGCAAAATAGAGCAAAAATGAGAGACATTTTTTTTTTAAATCTGTCGGTTCTTATATGTTTATCTACATTACTGCCTAAAATAGGTGTTTCATGTAGTGAGATTTCACCAAGGAAGATTGGATTATTATTTGCCTGATTTGTTCTGTACTTTTTATAAGGATTTTTTAATAAAAAAATATCTTGCTTGTTAGAAATCTATACAGATGGTACTGTATTGTGAGGTAGAAGAAGTGCATGGGGGTTAATAGAAAAAATAAATGAACGTCGCTTAGCGCAACAATGCTTGGTATATGATATCACAACAAATAGTTTGAGAATGGAGGTGGAGGCAGTCACTGCTGCCTTCAGCTTGCTCACAGAGTAATAAGAAAAAGGTCCAGACAGGCATCGTCGTCATATGTCCAGACAGGCATTGTAATTGACTCACAGAGTATATAAGAAAAAGGTGCAGACAGGCATGTCGTAATTGTAATTGACTCACAGAGTATATAAGAAAAGGTGCAGACAGGCATGTCGTAATTGTAATTGACTCACAGAGTATATAAGAAAAAGGTGCAGACAGGCATGTCGTCATTGTAATTGACTCACAGAGTATATAAGAAAAAGGTGCAGACAGGCATGTCGTCATTGTAATTGACTCACAGAGTATATAAGAAAAAGGTGCAGACAGGCATGTCGTCATTGTAATTGACTCACAGAGTATATAAGAAAAAGGTGCAGACAGGCATGTCGTCATTGTAATTGACTCACAGAGTATATAAGAAAAAGGTGCAGACAGGCATGTCGTCATTGTAATTGACTCACAGAGTATATAAGAAAAAGGTGCAGACAGGCATGTCGTCATTGTAATTGACTCACAGAGTATATAAGAAAAAGGTGCAGACAGGCATGTCGTCATTGTAATTGACTCACAGAGTATATAAGAAAAAGGTGCAGACAGGCATGTCGTCATTGTAATTGACTCACAGAGTATATAAGAAAAAGGTGCAGACAGGCATGCTTCATGCAAGGTGGAAAGCATCGCTTCAGAGGTCCCTGGTAGTTAGCATCCTTTAGATATTTTCTCCAAGTAATGCTGGTGTGTTGGGAAATGAGCAGGCAGATAGACTGGCTGGTTCTGCAATACTTGATGGTGAATCGATGTATGACAAGCTAGATGTTGTGAGGGCCCTTTGGGAGCAAATGAACAGTGCGGAGGCACAGATAGATCATTACGGTTTGCAGGGAGTTACCAGGGGATCTGGCAGACACTCAGCACTCAAAGGAAAGATGAGATGGATGTACAATCAGACTGTTAGTGGTACCATCAGAATTGGAACCCTTCGCTTGCTGCTGAAGATGGGGACGGAGTGCTTATGGAAGTGTCCTGAGTGCTGTGATTTTGATTTCTTATTCAGCAAAGAACATTCAACATTGTTGGAATAAAATATAAATATTGATTTACAACCAAGAATTCAAGAGATCAGTTAGACAGCCATTAAATGTTTGACTCATTTAAGTCTGCTCAGAGTTTACACTGAATGTATGGGATAGCCAGTAATTATTTATCAAGGATTCAGTGAAAACTGTCAGGTGTTTACATCATGATCATCATAGTAGAATTATCCAGTTTGTTGCCTTCACCTGCTGTTCTTGTTGAGTTACTGAAGTTGGTAGCAAGCTGGATTCTATTTCACGGTTTGGTAGCTTCATGCCTTGATTGTATACAGATCAGCAGAACCTTATGATGGAACTGATCCACTGAAGAAAGTAAACCGAGCTCCCAACTGAGGATTTCCTAGATCCTGTTTCTTGGCATGGTAATGGTGCAGCTGTGTTTGTGTGTTAGAGCACTGTGGTTCAGTCAGTTACCCAGTCCATTGTTTACACTTAAACAACAGCATTATTCAACAGGTATCCAGAGTTCTGGACAGGAGAGTTTGAGTATTCTGGGCATCATCAGTTTACATTACATAAACTAAACATTTCACCCCAGCAATATCAGATGTTGCGTAATTGTGTAAAAAGGGACGGGTGGGGTGAGGGTTATGACCATCCACAATGGACTTTCTGAAACCTAAGCTTACAGTCATACTCAGTAGCTCTCATAAACAAAGTCTTAATCTCTAAGGTTCTGCTGTGACTGCCTCTACCTCCAATCGCATACTGGATATACAGTGTTCTTTGTAATTATATGATCTTTTCATTTAGCTGGAATGCTAATCCATGTGAAGGATATAACCACTGGAATCTCATACAGCATTTTCTGAAGATATTAATATGAACAGTAAAATTAAACTGTGTGCCATCTCCACAATGAAGAGTGGCTTCATGCACTCGCTGCTGCCTTTAGGAATATTGTGTGGTGAGGCCACAGTCTCTTCCATGGAGTGACTCTTGTTCGATTGTCCAAATTGTGTGCAAAAAGTTTAGATATATATATGCAAAATCAGCATCTCAGTCAAGGTCAATATTTACATATCACTGGTGTTGTCTTTATTTCCTTATATGGACGTGAGAGCTGGACTCTCACTATGGAAATGGAAAGGAGGATTCAGGCTTTCAAATGTAAATGCTACAGATGCATTTTACGAATTAGTTATTTAGAACACAAAACTAATAAATATGTCAGAGACAAAATATACAAATTTGCAGGACATCTGGAGCCTCTCTTGACAGTGGTGAAAAGTCGCAGGTTAGATTGGGTAGGGCATATGGTGAGACATGATTCGATTGCAAAGACTGTACAAAGAAACATTGCGGGGTAGTAGAAGAAGAGAAGGGCAAAGAAAAACCTGGAATGACAGCATAAATAAATGGATAGGACTATGTTATCATACACTTATTCTTCAAGCAGAAGACAGAGAAAAAAATTGTGTGTTTTATATGCTAGTGCTTCCAATAATACACCTCCACGACCGTAATGGGTCAAGGTTTATGTTTTATATATATATATAAGGTTGCGACACATCTAAGGTTGCGTTGTAGGGTGACCATCAATCCCGTTTTCCCTGGGATGGTAGCGTTATTTTTTAAAGTAGGCCCAGGCCTTCCGTTGATCGGTAACGTCATCGGAACAATGGAATTTTGTTATTAAATAT